TTGAAAACAACAAGACTGTTTTGTCTTATTGCACAAATTAAAATTCAGCTTCACGTATTTCTATTGATTTCATTTCCCCGCTAGAAAAATTGTGTGATGGAGGTCCATGGAAGGCAAATAAGTTTAAATCAAATAAACAAAAGAGGATGGAGTTAAAGTAAATAAAAGGTATTCAAGCTARGTTTTGAGCATCCAAAACACGTCCAACACTTTAAAGCTGGCTGCTTGTGCTCTTTAGGTCAGACACGTTCGGACTGTCAGGAAGTGCCTCTGTTGTTTTCCTCTGCCGGTCTCTGTTTAATGGTGGATACAATAAAGAAAGTGGCGGTACTTTATTTATTTTGAGCAAGCGAACGTCGTGCTCACAAGATAATTAATCCACCAGATAATTCAGAGGCGGTCTGTTTGAAGAGTTTAGGAGCTGCGAGGCTTTCAAACTACGATCAGACCGAGCTCTTCGTTCAGGACAAGCATGGAAAACTCACCACTCTTACMCCAATACGGTCYCAATGCTGCYTTCAGGACAAGCATGGAAAACTCACCACTCTTACGCCAATACGGTCGCAATGATGCGTTTAGGTTCTGAAACATGGTACCGTTTGATGTTACGTGAATAGGTTCTCGGTAGTAACGACAGAATTAGGTCTGTACTTAAAAAAGTATCGAATTCGGTACCCATCCCTTGACCTCACAAATGTGCTTCTGGAAAAATGGTCAAAAATCTCCATAAACAAACTCCTAAACCTTGTGGACAGCCTTCAGAAGAGTTGAAGCTGTTCTAGCTGCAGTGGACCAATGTCATATTGAACCCTATGGATTAGGAATGGGATGTCACTTAAGCTCATTATGTGAGTCAATGCAGGTGAGCCAATACTTTTGGCAATATAGTGTATGTCATCCGAAGACTAGACCGTTTCAGACTGTGAAGTCTGTGGCCTTCGCAGGCCGTGGTCTATGTGGGTTGCGACCCCTGAACTGAGACACAGCCATCGTCTGGCCTGTCGTCACCACAACACTATACTATAAATGACGTCAACACAGGAAAATGAGAATCAAACCTGTGTATTCTTCGAGTCAGGCTGAGGGTGAAGTTTGCCGAGCAGTCCGGCTGATAAGTGGACGGCACTAAGGTGTAGGATCCAGGAGGAAGCGTGCAGGCCAGGCTGACGTCCTGCGTGTAACAGTGGGGGATGCAACTGGCCACAGGATCGCCCTCTTTGACTGTCATCTGCTCCGATACCCCACCAGGTACCTGTGCACATCGATACAAATCAGATGCTTCAAACTCAAATGGAAGCTATGACTCATCCTGAGAGATTCAACATGATGACTTTAAATTTCCTCCAGTTTGTTACAGCTGTGATGCTCACACAATCAGCTAATATAAGCAAGTTTCAGTGTTAAAACAACCACATAAAATCAAAACAGAACAAAATGTCCCCATTTTAAATTAGTAATGTCCCTCTTCCCCTACACAGTGCTGACCTTATAAACATGGAAACCAATCGGCAGCAGATCGTTGTCAGGGCGGCTCTGGTGCAGAGTAATCCTCACGTTAACTCCAGACGTCACATCTGACTCATCGGACACTGTGAAAGGGAAGCAGGGGTTCCGCCAGTGGGACAGGAAGTTCCTGCTTCCTCCGGCCGTCCTTCCCTCCACCCATGAGCCACAGAAGGAAGTGGTCTCCCACTCGCCATCTGCTGTCAGTGGCAGTGAGGATGCTGGGCTTTTCAGGGCACTGAGGACAATAATAACTGTATTATATAGTGGGAAAAATAGTAAACACGAGATATAAAGACATCTAACACAAGGAAAATCTATGACCTGTGAAATAATGTGAGGGGTAACATCTGGTTTTATTTACTGATTTTGCCAAATTAAAACAGTTGCTTAACATTTTCCTGTTTCCACAAAAATCAATGTACAGTTCATTCTTTCGCATTTCTGTTTTAAAATTAAACAAGAAAAAACAAATAAGGTGGTAGGGTTTTTTTTTGTTTATTTGTTTTAAAATTTTTTATTTATTTATTTTAATAGCTAAAGCTAGGACGGAGTACTAGGGCCACACAAGAAGATTTTTTTTTTTTAAATTACGAGAATAAAGTCATAATATTACGACATTAAAATCATATGGAAATAAAGTCATAATACTATGAGAATAAAGTTGTAACATTATGAGATTAAAGTCATAATATTATAAGAATAAAGTTATAACATCATGAGATTAAAGTCACAATATTAAAAGGCATAACATTCTAAAATTAAAGTCGTAATACTATACTCTACACGAAAAAGTATGCAGTTTCCACAGCATTAAAATGAGGAATGTTGAGCAACTTGTCAAGTTGTTCTTTATTGCTTAAAATAAATAGTTAATCTTTTAGCACATTAGTATCAAATTATCAGTAGCAGGACTTGGAAATTGTGCAAACGACTATATGATAAACTGAAGCATGCATTGACAGATTTAATCGTCAGCTAATTTGGATGAAAGCATATTAATCTAACAGTGACCCAAGTCATCGTGGGCTACATTATAAACACAGACATGGCTGTACACAGAAGGTGTTGGAAAACAAGGAGGAAACGAGGAACGGAAAATGGACACGTCATGTAAGATTATGACTATTTTTTCATAATATTATGACTTTCTTTCTCGTAATATTACAACTTTATTCTCGTAAAATTGTGATTTTATTCTCGTATTATGACTTTAATCTCATATTATGACTTTATTCTCGTAAAATTATGACTTTATTCTCGCAATATTATGACTATTCTCATAATATTATGACTTTAATCTCGTAAAATTATGAATTTATTCTCGTAATATTATGACTTTATTCTCATAAAATTATGACTTTAAACTCGTAAAATTATGACTTTATTGTCATAATAATAATTTAAAGAAATCTTGTCGTATAAAACAAAGACGACATCTACCAAGGTGTTTAGAAGTCGTTTTCATTTTTTGGCAGTCTTCCAGCCATGATTAACTATTTTGTTTTTATTAATTTCAACCTTTATTTAACCAGGTCATCTATAGATGTCATTGAGATTAAAAATCTCTTTTTCAAGAGATCATGTTTTACACAACGTCCTAACTTCACTGGAAAAGGGGTTGTAGCATAAACAGCTTTCCAAAAGTACGAGTTGAAATTTCACGCACACTGTCGTCCCATCAAGTCTCACCTGAGTGATGTGGAGGAGGAGGAAAAGACCCGGATCAGGAAGCAGGTCTCAGCTCCTGGCTGGTAGGTGCTGGGAATAAGAAGGTAGTACCCAGGATCCAGGTGCCTGCTGAGGACCACCTCCCTCTCATAGGCATGGCAGTGAGTAGAACAAAAAGGTAGTTTGTTCAACGTACGACTCAGATTAAAACGCTTCTTGTCCACCTGCAGAGAATACGTGTGAAAGTTAACACAGGAACACGCCATCATTCGCTTCATATAAATGATGGCACAGACCTTCCACATGTGCAGAGCAATAGCTTGGTAGTGCTGGTGCTTCGTGTTCCCGCCGGCCTCCAGTGACATTTGTGCGTTTTTCCTGTTTCTCCATTTTCGATGCTGCAGTAAGGACATCAGTACCTCTCCTCTCTCACACACTTTGAGCCAAAACTTGGGATTACTGCTGTAGCTGCTGGAGTTTCGGCTACCGCCAGCAGAGTACCCTTTTATCCACCGCCCGGCCAGCTGATGGTTGTGTGTGAGAAGATTTCCTGATGGAGGACGACATAGCAAGTATAAAATATATTTTTTAAAAGGTGATAAAAAAATAAGAATCTATCCGTGTGACTATTTTTAATTATTCCTTTATTACAGGTTTATGTATTTTTCTCTGTATCTCCTTTTGATACTTCAGCTGTGAAACATTTGAATTATATCTGCACTCCTACATATTTCACTTCTAGACATTTAAGTTGGACTTATAATAAAACCTGCAACATATATTTGGTCCGTCTGCGGTGAATATGAACTTTTATTTTATCTGGTTATAAACAGCTACATCTACACGTCTAGTTTCAATTATTAACTAAGACTTTTCGCTTACAAAGTGTTTTTGAGCTAACTTTGACACTTAACGTTGGCTTACATTTATTATCACTGGCAGAAGTTTTAACTGTGTCTATTTGTCTTTTGTGAGCTAAAAAGAAACATATAAGATTCACAGCTGCTGAAAAATATCAATCAGTGGTTTACAGAGACCTGTGAACCGTTTGTTCCTTTCCAGAAAAAAAAACAATAATCTCCTCAAAGTCATTACGGAGTTTTTTGCTGCTAAAAGTAAAAAGCCAGTTTAGTGAAATAACCTGTGTAAATGCTCTTCAAGTGTCCCTCATCACTGATGGGAAATCCCACTGTGATGTCATCAAACTGGGACATAAACTCAGCCTCATCCAACCAGAATTCGCCCTCTGCCAGCCTGGATTTTAGGTCCGCGGCGCAATCTGAGTCGAGAGAGCTCCAACCGACACCACTGCAGGACCCAGTGGGAAAAAAAAAGTTAACTACAGCTGCACAAACATATGTAAACAAAATCAAATCTAAAGTTTTATAAATTAACATTAAATCAAAATGAGGTTTGAAAAAGAGGTTTAATTTATAATTTGATTATCAAGTGTTGAAACAACTTAAAGACAAATACAGAGACTTTTGAAAAAACTAAGATACAGCAGTTTATACAGAATATTAAGAGGTTTTTTTTACTTTGTAACATTTGTATAACTAAATGTATGAGTGTATTTTTTAATCATCGCTCTATAGTTTGTTTGTTTGAGAAGTGTCAGTATTGGTGTTTAAGAGGTTTCAGCTTTTCTGGTGCTGATGAAAACATCTTGGACTTTATGGCTTCCTCTCATGTATCTCAATAATATGAAGAGCACTCTTTCAGAAAAAACTAACAATAACATGATTATAATTTGAACATAATGACATTTCACCCTTTTTCTGCAAATATTTCTACCATCTGCTAAAATATGCAAAATAAATGTTTAACTGGCTGGGTTATGTATGCTAATGTTTTCTAWCAATCAATGCTTTAACTGTTTTTGTTTTTTTATCTATTGTAAAAATAGTACATTTTTAAAGTTATGTGTAATTAAACTTCTTTTTACTTCTTCCAGAAATGTTAAAATAATTTCTAGAAATAATTTATAACAGAAATTCATGGCTGTCTTGCAGGTTTTTAAGCACAATGTTGGGAAGAAAATGTAACAAGATGTGTCTCAATAACTTTTCAAACATAAAATACTGTGGTTAAAGTGGTTTTTTCAGGGTAGGACTGAGCATTAGGTGATCCAGTAAAAGCCTTCTCTGTTTCACTGAATATAAATTAACCCCTCATGATCTGTTTTAGAAAAAAACAAAAATTCAGATGAGATGACATAGCAGCTTGAAAAACTTGACTGCATCCTGAGTGGATAAGGTTCAGCTTCATGGTTCTTCCTCAAAGTCAACCTGTGATGTAACTGAGCAGGGTTTCCTACTTTTTCCTAACTTTTTGATTCATTTTTTAAAATGACTTATATTTGTTAAAGTCTAGAACAAAACTTCTCTTATTTTGAATCTTGTCCACGACACGTTTACCTCCAAGTCCAAGCACCACCCCAGCAGCATCGACCCCACGGGTTTCTGATCCTGAGCAGCCGCACCTCGCTCCCTGACACCTTCTTCACATCCAGCCACTCCATCACTGTCAGAGCATGGTACTGACCCGTCTCACTGAGTCCTAAATCAAGTAAGAATGTCAGTGAGTGGTTCAGCTGGGGATCATTCGTTTGATTATCTACAAGGGAACACTATCCCAACCTCCAGGGGCACCGTGGGTGGAACAGCTCAGCGCACAGTCATCCTTCACGTGGGACAGAAGATTCAGGTCCAGCTTTTTCCTCTGGACTTGATCACTGTCCTGCTCTGTTCGCTGCTGCTCCTCTGAGCCAAAGCCGCCCAGGCTCCAGRGCTCAGCCACGCCACCGGTCAAATCCACCAGGGCCTCCGCCACCTGCCCCGCCCACAAGTGCTCATATGAWCCGTGAAGCCTGAGGGAAAGTTTCAACGGTCATGACATTTCAACTTTGATAAACACGATGTTCAGAAAACCGTGGGACAATAGATTTAACTCAGATACAGAAACAAGGAAATTCCACATACTTGGCATAAGCTTTCTCCAACAGGGCTATCCAAAAGGCTGAGGGGGAGTGGCAGTGTGAGAAGCAGAGGGTGGAATTGATGCAGGGCAGGCGGTCGTCGATGGTCACCTCTGTCCAGTTCCCATGTTGCCAGAAGCAAAACCTAAAGCAGCCTCTGTATCTGCTGTTTCCCCACAGAGGCTGATCTGCAGGAAACACCTTTAAAAACCATACAGGGACAGGGTGAGCAAAGTGTAAAAAAAAAAACTCACACAAAAAGGAAATGCTGAAGTTTGTGTACCTTGTTTAAAAGATGTTGGTTTTTAAGCAGGACACTGGAGGCACAGAGAAACCAGCAGTCTCCCAGCAGACCTTGTTTTGCATGAGCCATGTTGATGTTTGGAGGGAAGAGAATCGGCGACTGGCAGATCTCCTTCAAACGTGAAAATAAAGTCTTACTGACCGAAAAAGAACCTGATGAATCTTATTCTCAGTGGTTTAAATTTCTTATTTATTTTTTTCTTATTTATGAAGTTTATTCTTTTAAAACAAAACAACATAAATTCAACAAAAAAATCATAAATTAAATGAAAGGTAGCAGAAGAAAAATATCTTATGATTTCAGCCCCTTTTTCTCAAATAAAAAAATTCAATCAAAAAAACTTTAAAACGTACAAATAAAGATTTAATTCCTTAAATGACCCAAATGTGTTGACTCAACTAAAATTCTTTCGTAGTGTAAAACACAAACACAGATATTTACTTACCCGTTTCATGTTTTGTTTTCATAACAATCTTTCATCATCGGTTTAACCACCTGATGTGAAATTTTCCTGCCGTGTTCACCTGGGCAMGTCAACATGTGACTTCCAACACAATGTAAATAATCTAAAACATCTACGTCACAGGGACTTTCCAGAAACATTKCCAGTTCGCCCCCCGTGGTCACTGACCTGTGGGCGTCGCCAGGCGATCTCTCCCTGCAGTTTGGCGAGGGGCGTGGTGCTGTCAGAGAACAGGGACGAGTCCGTGCAGGGAAAATCCGAGTCCTCGAACAGAGCTGCAKCCAAACGCTCGGTCCCGCCTTCTTCTTTCATGGCTCCTGGATGTCTGCTGACCTCAGCACGCGATCACCATCCTCGTCAGACTCACGTACTGCACATCTGTGGTCCGACTAAAAAGAAAATGTCACTTCTGTTATATAATGGTGAAGGTGTGTGTTTGGTTTAACACAGAAAGCTATTTGCACAGTTCCTTCACATTGCTAAATTTCAGACTTTTCCCAGACTTAAACTCTCCCAAATTTTCTGTTGATTTTAAGGATATTTTTTGCAGCCTAAGTACATTTGCTCTAAACTGGCTGTGTTGAATTTAAGCACAGCTCACATCTTCTACAATACAACATATTATGTTGTTTAGTTAGTTTGAGTTAAATATAAAAAGCTGCATTTACGTTTTGAGGTTTTGGCTAATTTTGTGCTATGTGATTTGCATGTTCTATTTATAGTTTATAATGTATAAAAGCATTCCAGATGGCCAAATTATTATTTAGAAATCCACATTTTAATTTTTTTCACATCTGAGAGGTGGGGTTGAGGGGTCTGGAAACAATTTTACATATTTATCCACGCCTGGAAACAGAACTGAACAAGTACTCACTTTCCCCATATTATTTTAAACTGAATGGAAACACTGAATTGTTTTGCCCTCCCTCAACAACACACAGCGCTTTATATAAAATTGTGTTTTTAAAATGCAAACACTCTCACTCCCTGTGACACAACAACGTGTACACAAAAACTAAATAACTACTGGTGTTCCGAGCTGTACAGAGCTGGTCACCATGTGGTTTTAATGTGTTTACTGTATCTTACCTCGTCTTTCAAGCATCTTTCCCATCGTTAGCTTACACAGCTAGCTTAGTTAGCATCAGCTAGCATGTGCTAAATCCACGGCAAACCTAGCTTTTCCGTGTCTTCTCATCTTGTCATGGTTTCACAACCGTGACCGCAGCGACTTCTTGTACGTTTGACACATCTTTTGTTATGAGTAAGGTTTGTATTCCGACCGCATGTGTTTCACTGCTACGAAGGGGAAAGTAATGTGTGTTCTGGTTGGGACATGTAGCAGGACATCCTTCCGGGGCGCTGTTAGCCCGCAGGRGGCTCTGCAGTCAAGTCACTGAGTAGTAATAAATGCATGTAAAAATATTCAATTTGCACCTTTGTAAACGTGCACAATTACAATTAATCCAGGTTTAGGAGTTATATATATATATA